TGGTAAGGAGTGCAGTGTCTGTCTCTGACATGAATTCAGTGTCCAGCTTTTAAATCATCTCCCCTTGGGTGATGCAGCCTTGCCAGGCCACAGGGGAAGATGATGCAGCCAGCATCGTTGAGACCTGATAACCTAGGGTCTGAAAGAAAGGGAAGAGGTCTTCTATCAGAGGACTAGGGAAAGGGCATAGGTGGAGAAGAGGGAGGGTCAGTGGGACTGGGAGAAGACAAGGGATGGGGCTGCAGCCGAGATACAAAGTGAATAAATTGTAATAAATAAATATATTGATAAAATTTTTAAATTTAAAACAAAACCCAAAATATTTTACTAGAACTTGCAAAGTATAGTTGTGTGTATGTGTGTACATAGCATGTGTGTGTGTGCCTGTGCGTGTAATGGACATGTGTTTATGTGTGTATAGCTATGCACCAACATGTGTGTTGCCCTTGGTTGAATGTGGAGGCCAGAGATTTTTTTTTTTTTATGTGGGATATCTCCTTCTATTGCTTCTCGCAGTATGTTTTCAGCTAGGGTCTCTTACTGAAGCTAGAGCTTACAGCTGTCTAGGCAAGCTGGCCTGTGTATTCCTCTGATCCACCTTTCTTTCCTCTACTCAGCCTTATCACCAGGTTATAGTTGCAGCATCCAAGCCTGCTTTAAAGTGTTCTACAAGTGATTATAAAGCTGGGGTCCTCATGATTGTGTGACAGGCATTCTTACCTATTTAACAAACTCATCAACCTCACAAATAATATATTTTTAATAATGACATAAGACTTAAAGGTGAAACATTATTTCTTCTCTTTTATCACTTAGGTATTGGAAGACTTTTCAAATTCATTATATTTCCTCAATGTATCAAAATTCTGTTTCCCAAACTGTGTTGTACATCTGGATTTTTCTTGATCATATATTCTCTTTGTTAGATATATTTGATATAAGCTTTTTTCCTTTGTAAAAATATTTTATATAAGTTTATTTGGTTTACATCCCAAGGGTGCCCCCTCTCTCTTTTTCTCCCTGGTCTCCCTCCTCTCTTCTGTCCTTTTCTCCTCTCCCTTTGCCCCAGAAAAAGGGAGCCATATCAACCTCCTCCATATCAACCCTCCCAATAGAACAAATCACCTGAGGACTGAGTATATCCTCATTTACTGAGGCCAGGCCAGGCAGCCCTGCCAAGGGATGTGATCTAAAATCAGGCAATAGAGTTCATGTTAGAAACAACCGCTTACTTCCTACTCTCCAGGTGACCCACATGAAGACTAAGCTGCCCATTGACCACATATGTGCAAAGGGTCTAGGTCCAGACCATGCATGTTCCTTAGTTAATGTCTCAGTACTGGTAAGCCCTTGTGATTCTGAGATAGTTGTCCCTTTTCATCATCTTGTGGGGTTGCTATCCTCTCCAGGTGTTCCATCTTTCCTCCCAAACCTCCACAAGACCCCTGGAACTCCACTCCATGCTTGGCTACAATTCTCAGCATCTTTTTTGATTCGCTGCTGGGTGGAGCCTCCTAGAAGACAGTCATGTTAGGCTCGTATTTGAAAGCATAGAAGAACATCATTAGTAGTGTCAGGGGTTGGCTCTCTACAGTGGGGTGGGTCTCAGGCTGAGCCAGTCATTGGTTGGGCATTCCCTCAATCTCTGTTCCCTCTTGGTCCCTGTACTTCTTGTAGGCAGGGTAATTTTTGGATCAAAGTTTTTGTGGGTTGGTTGTTGTTCCCCTCCCTCCACTAGGAGTCCTGCCTGTCTAGTAGGTGGCCACTTCATCCTTCAGTCTCCACGTACCCCTCCTCCATTAAAAGTCTCAGCTAGCGACACACCCATATCCTTCCAGGAGCCTATCCAGTGGCAGACCTATCTCTTGTCAAAGAGATGCCATTCTCAGTTTTCCTTCTCAGGCCCATTCCTCACACCTTCCACCCCTGTTCTCCTCACTACTGATCCCCACTCTCATTCCATCTCCTCCCCTCCACATCCTGCCCAATTTCCTTTCTTCATCCACTTCTGCTGTGCATTCTATTTTTCTTCTGAGTGACATTCAGGCAGCCTTCCTTGAGCCCTCCTTGTTACATAGCTTCCTTGGGTCTGTGGATTGTAGTATGATTATCCTGTACTCTAGGTCTGATATCTGCTTATAAGTGAGTACATACCATGTGTGTCTTTCTGACACACACTCATTCAGGATGATCTTTTCTAGTTCCTTCCATTTGCCTGTAAATTTCATAATTTACTTGTTTTTAATAGCTGAGTAGTATTTCATTGTGTAAACGTACCATGGTTTCTGTATCCATTCTGTGGTTGAGGGACATCAAGGCTGTTTCCAGTTTTTTGCTGTTATGAATAAAACAGTTATGAACATAGTTGAGCAAGTGTCCTTTTTTGTATGAAGGAGTATCTTTTGTGTATATGACCAGGAGTAGGATAGCTGGAGATGGAAGTATTCCCAATTATCTGAGAAAGTGCCAGATTGATTTCCAGAGAGGTTGTACAAGTTTTTTCTCCCATCAGAAATGGAGGACTGTTCCCCTTTCTCCACATTTTAACCAACATGTGTTGTCATTTGAGGTTTTGATCTTACCAATTCTGACTGGTAAATGAAATCTTAGATTCATTTTGATTTGCACTTCTCTGATGATGAAGGACATTAGCATTTCTTTAAGAGCTTCCCAGCCATTCGATATTCCTCTATTGAGAATTCTCTGTTTAGCTCAGTATCCCGTTTTTTATTTGGATCATTTGACTTGTTGTTGTTTAATTTCTTAGGTTCTTGTATATTTTGGATATTAGCCCTCTGTCTGATGTTGGGTTGGTGAAGATCTTTTCCCAATCTGTAGGCTGCCATTTTGTTCTATTGACAGTGTTTTTTGGCTTACAGATGTTTTCAGTTTCATGAGATCCTACTTATTATAAGCTTTATTTTTTTTTACAATGTCATATTACTTGTTTTTTTTTTTTAACAAAACAGGTCTAAATAAGGGATCAGAATGTGTAATTGTATGTACTACTTATAGGTACAAGGACATTAGGAAATCAGAGGAATAAACTTTATGATATATTAACAAACACCAATATCTTCAACACTTATTATTTTCTTTTCAAATCATAGGTAATAGTATTACCACAGTTAAAATCAAATGAGTATTAAAGTTACTATAAAAGAAGTAAACATAAAAACTTATGCAGAATGAGAGTTCCTATAACTTCTACACTGTCATCTAATTTTATAACACATTTATATTTTTAAATTAATTTTGGATAATTGAAGAAATCAAGTTATAAATCACTAAACATTATGAATTCTTGAACACTGATAAAAGATTCATATTTGAGACCTATTTATCAACATGATTTGGTTATTATACATTGCACATATATATTAAATTTACAAAATATATCACATAAGCATGTACTTATTTCAATCAAAAAATCAACAAAATAAAATTACATATATTCTTAATAGGAAGTTGTAAAATAAAACTCATTTTATTGGGGTATAAGCTTATTCAAAGAAGTTTGAGAAAGACTTACCTTTAAAAAATAAGATTAAAAATAAATATAGTAAGATTGTATAGATAATGAGCTGTTATCACAGAGTTCTCATAAATACAAAAAAAAAGGATCTCATAAGAGCAATTTCATTTCTTTAACAATTTCTTCCTACGAGCTTTCAAGCAGTATGTTCTTGGTATAATAGTTTCTTACACTACCTTTCTTCTTTTATTCAATGCTTCTTTTAAGTCAGTATAGTCACAGGTGTTTTCACAACCAGCATTCATATTTATGAAGATATTTACAAAACCATTAGGAATGCAGCGATCTTTCCTTGTTAGACTGATGTTTCTTTCTCACTAATGGAACAAGAATTGAAGTCAGCAGATTGTGCCTTAAACAATTCCAAAATAAGGAACTGAGTGGAATAGAACAACACAGTGAGGAAAAAAATGGAAAAGAGATCATAAAGACACAACACCCTAGGAGGTGGTCCTTATCCTTCATAGGTTCTGAACATGTTGCTAGGAGTTCTTTAGGGAGCTGGCAAGTGTGAGTGATGGTAACAGTATATTGGGCAATGGAACAAATCAAAGGAGTTTTGTCTTCTGTTTTGACTCTGAGAGTTCATATTTTGTAGGGGGCGAGGTAGAAGGAGGAATGAGCAAAGCTATGCATATGAGCAAATGTCAATCCCAATGTTAAGCCTTCCAGGCAGGACATAGACATTTTTAAAAATAAATAAATAGGAACCAGAGGGATCAAGAACACACCATGAGAACATGGCTCACAGAATCAAATGACTGAGACTCATGGGACTTACAGAGAGAGGGGAGCATTTAGGGTTCTGACCTTGGATGCCTTTATAAATGTTGTGGCTTATAGCAGTTTGGTAAACTACTGGGAATCCTAACAGTGGGAACAGTTAGGAGGCTGTCTCTGACTGTTTTGCTAACTTGCAGGAACCCTTCTCTCTTACTGGGTTGACTTGTGCAGGCATGATGCGAAGGTATATATATGCCTGGTCTTATTGTAACTTGTTATATTTGAGAGATTTGCTCTTTTCTGAGTGAAGTAGGGTAAGTCAAGGGGAGAGGAGAGGAGTGGGGAGAAGCTGGGAGGAGGTAGTAGGAATGTAACATATAAGAAGAGTATTTCTGACATGAACTCAAGGACTGGGTCCTTTACCTCCTCCACCCCAGAGGGAGGAACAGACTTGCTAGGCCACAGAGTAGGACATTACAGCCATTACTGAAGATACCTGATAAGCTAGGATCAGATGGAAGGGGAGGAGACCTCCCCTAGCAGTGGACTTGGAAAGGGACAGGGAGGAGATGAGGGAGGGAGAGTGGGATTGGGAAGGAATGACGGATTGGCTGGGATACAAAGTAAATAACCTGTGATTAATATTAAAAAAAATAAAAATTAAAAAAAGTTCTTTATATAACTTAGAGCAATTTGTACTAAAGATACTTTAAATGTAAGCTTTTTTGAAAAATGAAGTGATGTGCTCACTTTGACAGCACATATACTAAAAATTGGAGCGACACAGAGAAGATTAGCATGGCCCCTGCACAAAGATAACGCTCAAGTTTGTGAAGCATAGGACTGCCTTGTCTGGATAAACTTAGGCCTCATGCGACTGGATGTGCTAGGGTTGGTGCAGCCAGGGCAGGGTTGGAGGGAGGCTCCCCTTTTCTGAAGAATAAAGGAGAGTGGGAAGAGGAGGAGAGGAGGGAGGGGCTGCCTTTGGGACATAAAGTGAGTAAATAAATACATTTAATAAAATTAAAAAAAAAAAAGAACTGATGTTAATTCAAAATGAGTAAGAATAAAATACTGGTTGGGTAAAAACAGTCAGAACCAGAACATAACTGGGTACCCATTGTTTATTCCTGGTTTCTTTAATTCACTAAATTAGAATAAAGGAAGAAAGAAAGTGCTAATATTTGTGTATGTAATTCAATCATCTGTATATCTTGCCATATTAACCTTTACATAACATTAGATATCACATAGAGTGGATGTTGGAAAAGTAATTGCAGCATAAAAATTCACTGACAGTTTCCTTTGTATATCCAAACTGCTGTATTCTTTGAGCAAAAGAATAAAATAAAAATAAAGTAAGAACAAAAAAGAGTTTTAAAAATAAATAAATAATCAAAATGCATAAAACATTTTTTTTCATTTTTTTCTATCATTTATTGACTATCACATAGAAAATTGTGTGTTTGCATTGCAATCAAAAACCAGTAAGGAAAATCCACCCCAAACAACATAGTTTGCTTACTCAGTGAAATCCTAAATACTTTAAATCGGGGTCTCCTGAAGGCAACCAAATGTTCAGCATGGTTACAAGCCTTTTCCAACAACCCAATGCCATTTCCTGGCTTACTTCAAGCCACATGGAAGAAACAGTCTAGAAAGTTTCCATTTTTTTTTGAAATCTTTTATTATTATTATTATTATTTTTATTAATTACACTTTATTCATTTTGTATCCCCCCATAAGCCCTTCCCTCCTCCCCTCCCGATCCCACCCTCCCTCCCCTTTCTGCATGCATGCCACTCCCCAAGTCCACTGATAGGGGAGGTTCTCCTCTTCTTTCTGATCTTAGTCTATCAGTTCTCATCAAAAGTGGCTGCATTGTCCTCTACTGTGGCCTGGTAAGGCTGCTCCCCCCTCAGGGGGAAGTGATCAACGAGCAGGCCAATCAGATTATGTCAGAGACAGTCCCTCTTCCCATTACTATGTCACCCACTTGGACACTGAACTGCCATGGGCTACACCTGTGCAGGGGTTCTAGGTCATCTCCACGAATAGTCCTTGGTTGGAGTATGACATAAAACATTTTATTTAATATGTAAAGCCTGCTTTATGCTGAAAAATGTTCATATGTCCACATATTTATGTTATTGAACATTCTCTAATTTATTTTCACTCAGTGTAAACTGGAAAGTCCTGCTAGCAATACGCTTTCAACGTACCACTGGAAACATTTTTATAACAACATTATAATGAATTTAAATACTATAATTGATTTTATTTATTTGTTGAAATGATCTTCACAAGTATATTCTCTTATAAGGAAAACTGAGACAAAACTCTGCAATTCACATTGTGTAAATGGATGCCATAGTAATGCCTTTAAGCATTTCACTGTGTTGGCATAAAAATTACCAACTTCATATAGAAAAAAAGAAAAATAAGGAACCACACCCTGAAGTTGTGTGATTCTAATGGGATTCATCAATATTATTCTCTTTAAATTGTTATAGTAACATTAAGAATGATACGGGATAGAGACATTCTGTTTATCCCTTGCTTTCCATGGCAATGAGTTTCTGACATTTAAATTTTCTGCTATATTCAATGTGTTTGAAACTCTCATTTCTGTCTGTGTAGATTCAAATTTAGCCCAGTTAAGTATTCTGAAAGTACCAGATGGGAATATGACAAAGCTCTATCACCAGCTGGAAGAAACCTATGTTGGCCAAATCCAGGACAATTTAAATATCAGAAAGAGTGGTGGTATTGATATATTATTCTATATTGAATTAAATGTTAAAAGAAGCAATAAATATTTCATTGTTATATCAAGTACTAGTAATAAATCATTACTCTGAAAGTAACACATAAAACAATAAACAAAATACTTTTACTGGTAATTTTTTGCATTTAAAATTACAAAAATGTGAATTTAAACAGATAATTTTTAAAACAAATAAATAACCATTTATTTGCTGTGAAAAATTTTTTCTTGATAACATTTTTTTTCTTTTTTTTTATCAATTACAACTTGTTCACTTTGTATCCCCCCCATAAGACCCTACCTCCTCCCCTCCTGGTCCCATCCTTCCTTCCCCTTCTTCACACATGCCCCTCCCCAAGTCCACTGATAGGGAAGGTCCTCCTCTTCTTCCTTCTGAGCTTAGTCTATCAGATCCTATCAGGAGTGGCTGCATTGTCATCTTCTGTGGCCTGGTAAGGCTGCTCCCCTGTCAAGAGGAGGTGATCAAAGAGCAGGCCACTCAGATTATGTCAGAGGCAGTCCCTCTTCCCATTATTATGTAACCCACTTGGACACTAAACTGCTATGGGCTACATCTGTGCAGGGGTTCTAGGTTATCTCCATGCAAGGTACTTTGTTGGAGTCTGAGTCCCAGGGAAGACACCTGTGTTCAAATTTCTGGTTCTGCTGCTATCCTTGTGGAGTTCCTGTCCTCTCCAGCTCTTACTATTTCCCACTACTTACATAAGATTCCATGCACTCTGCCCAACAGTTGGCCATCAGGCTCAGCATCTGCTTTGATAGTCTGCAAAGCACAGTCTTTCAGAGGCCTTCTGTGGTGGGTTTCTAGGTTGTTTCCTGCTTTCTTCTTCTATAGTCCTTCCTCTTTGCCTTTCAGGATGGGGATTGAACATTTTAGTCAGGGTCCTCTCTCTTGATTAGTTTCTTTAGATGTACAGATTTTAGTAGGTTTAATCTATGTACATTTCTATATGAGTGAGTATATACCGTGTGTATCTTTTTGCTTCTGGGACAGCTCACTCAGGAAAGGGATCCTTTTCAGGTCCCACCATTTACCTGCAAATTTCATGATTTCCTTATTTTTCATTGCTGAGTAATATTCCACTGTGTAGATGTACCACAATTTCTGTATCCATTCCTCCGTTGATGGACATCTGGGTTGTTTCCAGGTTCTGGCTATTACAAATAAAGTTGCTACAAACATGGTTGAACAAATGTCCTTATTGTGTACTTGAGTCTCTTTTGGATATATGCCTAGGAGTGGTATGGCTGGATCTTGAGGAAGTGCTATTCCTAGTTATCTGAGAAAGCACCACATTGCTTTCCAGAGTGGTTGTACAAGTTTACATTCCCACCAGCAGTGGAGGAGGGTTCCCATTTCTCCACAGCCTCTACAGCATGTGCTGTCACTCCAGTTTTTCATCTTGGCCATTCTAATGGGGATAAGGTGAAATCTCAGGGTCATTTTGATTTGCATTTCCCTGATGGCTAATTACATTGAGCATTTCTTTAAGTGTTTCTCTGCCATTTGATATTCCTCTACAGAGAATTCTCTGTTTAGCGCTGTTCCCCATTTTTTAATTGGATTACTTGATTTATTGCTTTTCACCTTCTTTAGTTCTATATATATACTGGATATTAGCCCTCTGTCAGAAAAAGGGTTGGTGAAGATTCTTTCCCAATCTGTAGGCAGTCGCTTTGTTTTGATGACTGTGTTCTTTGCTTTACAGAAGCTTTTCAGTTTCATGAGGTCCCATTTATTCATTGTTTCTCTTAGAGCCTGTGCTGTTGGTGTTAGGTTCAGGAAGTTGTTTCCTGTACCAGAGAGTTCTAGGGTTTTCCCCAATTTTTCTTCTAAATGATTTAATTTATCTAGTTTTATGTTGAGGTCTTTGATCTACTTGGACTTTAGTTTTGTACAGGGTGATCAGTATGGATCAATTTTTATTTTTCTACATGTAGACATCCAGTTAGACCAGCACAATTTTTTGAAGAAGCTATCTTTTTTCCATTGTATGCTTTTGACATTTTTGTCAAAGTTCAGGTGTCCATAAGTGTGTGGGTTTATTTCTGGGTCTTCTGTTTGGTTCCATTAATCCACCATTCTGTTTCTATGCCAGTACCATGCAGTTTTTATTAGTATTGCTCTATAATACAGCTTAAGATCAGGGATGGAGATATCTCCAGAGATCTTTTATTGTAGAGGATTGATTTAGCAATTCTGGGTTTCTAGTTATTCCATATGAAGTTGAGCATTTTTCTTTCAAGGTTTGTACAGAATTGTGTTGGTAATTTGATGGGAATTGCATTGAATGTGTAGATTGCTTTTGGTAAGATGGCCATTTTTACTATGTTAATCCTTCCAAGCCATGAACATGGGAGATCTTTCCATCTTCTCATATTTTCTTCTAATTCTTTCTTCAGAGACTTGATATTTTTTCCATACAAGTGTTTGACTTGCTTGGTTAGGGTTACACCAAGGTATTTTATGTCATTTGTGTCTATAGTGAAGGCTGTTCTTTCCCTAATTTCTCTCTCAGCCCTTTTGTCTTTTGTATAAAGGAGTGCTACTGATTTTTTTTTTTTTTTTAGTTAATTTTGCTGAAGGTGTTTATCAGCTGTAGGAGTTCCCTGGTAGAGTTTCTGGGATCACTCATGTATACTATCATATCATCTGCAAATAGTGATGATTTGACTTCTTCCTTTCCCATCTGTATCCCCTTGATCTCCTTCAACTGTCTTATTGCTCTAGCAAGGACTTCTAGAACTATGCTGAAGAGATATGGAGAGAGTGGACAGCCTTGCCTTGTCCCTGATTTCAGAGGGATTTCTTTAAGTTTCTCTCCATTCAGTTTGATGTTGGCTATGGGCTTGCTGTACATTGCCTTTACTATGTTTAGATATGTGCTTTGTATCCCTGATCTCTCTAAGACTTTAATCATGAATGGATGTTGGATTTTTTCAAATGCTTTTTCAGCATCTAAGGAAATTATCATGTGTGTGTGTGTGTGTTTATTTTTCTTTCAGTTTGTTGATCTGGTGGATCACATTGATGGATTTTTGTATATTGAACCATCCCTGCA